TTTATAACTACTCTAACGGCACCCAAAAAATTTTGAGAAACGTGACCACAAGCCAATCACAGATAAAGATTAGATGTAATATAACACTAACATAACATGATCAAGAAAATTAAAAACAAATGTTTTTTTGCTAAAAATTGCCTATAACTCAAAAATCTGCATCTTTAGTGTTCTAATAAAAAGATTTCCTTGAGTGATTTTACTATATATCTTGATAATAATAAATACTAATATAAACATTAAACCTAATATTAATAAGCTTTTAAGACTTTAATTATCGTAAAATTTTTCAGAGTGTAGTTGGGCAAATAACTTTTTATACAGTACTATGTATAATGTTTTATTAGATTCGGGCTAAAGATTATAGTAGATCCTTTACGATCTAATTCTGGAGCCCAACATTCAAGAAATTGAATATTTTAGCTCTGGAATTAGATCGCAAAAGATTTACAGTGATCTTCAGCCTGGGATTTTCTTGACATAAGGAAACCCCACACTGATATACAAAAATTATTATAGCGAAATCTCTATAAATGCATCTCTAAATGCATGCTCAACCTCTGGCCCAAATATATACATGACCTCTATAAATGCACTTTTCTTATTGTTCGCTAAATGCACGTTGTTAAAGTTCAGTTCTAAGAGTATGCATTTACTGTATGTGGTTAAGTTATCTTGTATTAGAATTATTGTGATTTCTATTATGTTTTACCTTAAGAATTCAGTTATAGAACTTGCTTGCTAATGCAATATACATAGTGGTTAAGGTTGAATTAGTTTTTATCAAAATTATCATAATTTCTAGCATGAATTATTGTGAAAAAAATTCTATTACAGAACTTGCTATTTTGGTGACCACAGTATGTAGTTAAGCTAGTTTGCATTGGAAATTACTGTGATTTTTACCATGAGTTACTGTAAAAAATTCTGTTATAAAACTCAATGATCCTGTAACTACAAGTTAGTTCCATTGGAATTACTATGATTTCTATGTAGTTAAGATTTAGTTTGTATTAGAATTATTATGATTTCTATTGTAAAATTACTGTAAAAAATTGTTACAGAACTTACTTGCCATTCCAGTAATCATAGTATGCAACCAATGTTGAATTAGTTTGCATCAGAATTATTATGATTTCTGTATAGTTAAGGTTGAGCTGATTGGTTTGTAGTAGAATTATTATAATTTCTATCATGAGTTACCATAAAAAATCTAGTTACAGAACTTGTTATTCTGGTAGTCACAGTATGGATTAAGGTTAAGTTAATTCTTATTGAAATTATCATGATTTTTTTTCTGTAATAATTCTATTACAGGATTTACTTGCTATTCTCATAACCAAAATAAATGATTAAGGCTGAGTTAGTTTACAATGGAATTATTTAATTATTATCATGAGTGACTACAAAATATTCAGCTATAATTTTCAAGTGATATACAGTGTAAAGTTAAGATTGAGTTAGTTTGTATTAAAGTTATCACGATTTCTATCAGCAGTTAACATGAATTAATTTGCATTGAAATTATTAATATTTTTATCATGAGTCACTGTAAAAACATTTCGTAACAGTACTTGTGTTCTGGTGACTAAAATATGTGGTTAAGGTTGATTAGTTTTGTTTAGTTTTATTGAAACAATCGTTATTTCTACCATGTGTTATTGTAAAAAAATTCTGTTACAGAACTTACTATTCTGGTGACGTGACCACAGTATATAGTTTGAGTTTGTTTGCATAAAATTATCAAAGAAGATTATACCGCATAAACAAATTAGGTAAAGAGGACAGTGTTGTCAATGGATATGGACATGTCCATGGACTGTCCATGGACATGGACATATAAAAATATGGATGTTCATATCCATGAACATATAGAAATATGTCCATGTCCATGGACATGGACATTGGACATTGTGTCCATGGACTGTCCATGTCCAATAATTTGCTTGGACATATGTCCATGTACAACACTGAAAGAGGAGACGTAAAATTAGTAAATGCTTAATGACAAATAAATACTTTAACACAGTTACGTTTTATTTCCTAGCAGTCGATTTCTTTACAGGCCAATGTCTGACATTACACAAATGGCAATATATATCTACTACCAATCGAATGCCAGTGTGATGTCGGGTAAATGACTTGTAGGGAAAATAACACGCAGCTTTACCGTTAAAACAGGCGCACGTTAGGGCTTAGTATCCCTATCATATCTATGCCGTAAGCTATGATCGGACCAACCAATCAGAACATATTCTTCAATGACAATAACAGTTTTAGGCGCACTATACGTAGAGAATGTACGGCACATTATCTACTTTTTTTTATTACATGTTACATACACTACACGATCGAACGAATGAAAAAAAGATCAAATTCTTTCGTTACATTTTTCGTTATTATCAGTTCATCATACCGGCAAGAAATCAGGAGAAAAAAAAAAAATACCAAAAAAGCTCGGAAAGTATAAACATAAACATTAACTAAAATAGACCCACAGGTGCCAAAAGGATGTTTTTTTAATATAATTAAGTTTTTTTAAACGGTTCAAATTCTTTTTTCTAGCATCTATATTATTGTATCGATTCCATATCGATATCTAATGTCATATCTAAGATATATATAAAAATGATGGGAGTAAAAATTTCCTTTTATAGATTAAGAGGAAATTTTGGCTGTCGATCATAAGCATAAATGTGGCACAAAATACGGTAAATAGTAAAAAAAGGATACTACAATAGCAAAGGATATTACATTGCATAAGTATCTTTAATAAATCATTAATATCCAACCCCATAATTTATTGCCAAGTTCATGTGATCTAATGTCAACCATCGTTGCTAAACTCGGCATGACAGCACCAAGCTCTCCTTACAATGGTTACGAATAAACATGCTACTCTTTCTACTATTTACATGTACAGTCACGAAATTATATTTTTTTTAAAAAAAAACAAAAAAAAAACGATATATAAGATGTATGGTTTCAGTAGCTCTCATCTAGCTTATAATTAAGTTGGTTCTTCGTTTAATGTTATCCCCCTCCGTCTCAAACAAATAGAAGTGATAGATTGAACGATATAATAGCCAACGTGGCCACCGATATTTTTCGGCTTACATTCGAGATTTTTCGGTACACTGTGTTTAATTTTTATGATTATTTAATCCCCCCACTTGTATAAACAAAGTTTCAATTTCAAACGGCAATTACATTAGCACTTTGTATACGTATCACAACCTCTGCAAGTGACTGCAAATCGTTACTTATCATGTATGACGAGATTAAGTAAATCAGGGTTACCAATTCATCTATCAAAAGAACAAAACGAGAAACATTCTCGTAAATCCGAAAAAAAAACTAAAAAAAATAAAAGAAAGGCTTTTTTATCGCCCAATCAGTATATTTTTTATACAGTATTTCACTATTGCAGTGTCTAAAAATAGTATATCTTTTATAAAAATCTCTTGGAATTGTAAGGAAATTCACTGTAAATCTCTGCAGATTACTATATTCGATTAATCCATTAAACTCTATATACAGTATGTAAAAAATTTCGATTATCCGTAGTTTTTTTTAACAATCAGTTAGAGGGTGGGGAACTACTCCAGTACCGACAGATTTTCACTGATCGACATAAATTGACCAATTAGATTTTAATATCAGTGTAACGTGAAAATCATGCGGTTTTTTAAAAATTTATATATGAAACTACTTACTGTGCAATAGCAAAAAATTTCCTTGCTAAATTTTGGTATTAAAAGCTCCAATGCGATCATAAGATCATAACATAACCCTAATATAATGGTTTGTTATTTTAAAATTGTTGTTTTGGTCAAATCTGATGGGTATGTAATCAGTTGGATTCAATTTTCATTATTGATTTATTTTTTTATTTTGAGGGTACTTGTAGGATGTACTGATTATTTTTAGAGACTAGTAAAAACGTCCAATTTATAAAATCCGCTCATATGATCATTTTCTTTGATGTAATAATCTACGTACTGTATCCTGTATTTTATTTATCTTAATGACAAGAAAATTGACTAGTTAATAAAATGATCTATCGACTAATCGTTTGAAAAGTTCTCATAATTTTTATATTTCTGTGGTAATACATAATAAGCGCGTTTTAAAACTTAAATGTTGTGCATAATAACTAGTGATGCAGAATAATAATTTCTACGATTATTTAATTCTACAACAATGGGGAGTTGTGGGATTACAGCAGCTATTTTCAAAAAGATGTGAAGAACGATTTCTATATACCCGTGTGGGAATCGAAGAATTTGGAAAATTTATTAGTGAAAATTAAAGATTCGATTAAAACGAGATTTAAAAACTATAAAACCTGGGAAATATCAATCTGCATCTTTCTACAACTTTTTGAACACGGCTGTAAAGAAATGATAATTGTTAAGAATTATTTCCACTATTGTGGAATAATTCCACTGCACCACTACGAACTTCCAATCTTGTTTTACAAAAAAGTGGCTAAACTTAATTACAATCAGACCTCCTAGATGCAACCTCAAGCCCTGGCACAAATATATTCCTTACCTCCATAACGCATAACTGCAATTTTCTTTAATTTTTCTTTATTGTTAAATGCACATTATCAAAAGTTTGGTCCCAACAAGTTGCATTTTGGGAGACCTGATTGTATATAATTTTACAAATAGAGAAGTTCGAATAGATACATGTGTCCCGGTGCAATTTTTTCTGCAAACGATGAGAATTTTCATTATAACGATATATGCTAAAATCAACGCTAGGACCCATCCAAAAATAGTAGTTCATTAATGAATACGTAAACCCCATATTCGATTATTAGATGCATAATTATTGATTATACGACTCTCAAAATTTCAAGCGGGTGACTATACAGTATAGTTTTGAAAAATATGATTAGTACTACATAACGAACAATATAAATATGACTATTTTTCTCTCGATTTCAAAATTAATCCCAATAGTAAATAAAAACATAATACTATTAAAATATGGGATTAAGTCATTCTTCAGTTTATCATTCTTCTCATGTGAGAAGTGTATCGACATCTGGACCAGTTATTGTCGAACCATATTCAGACCTATACCCGCGTTTGGATATATATGATTTCTATGGCGATGAAATATACAGACCACAATTCGATTTGTTGGTTCAAAGTTATCAAGTGATCTATGATCGTCCTTACGAAGATATGCGATCATTTTACCAGATTGCTGGTATTCATGGACTACCTTATACAACCTATGACGGAGTTACTGGTGGTGTACATGAATACAATAATCAGACAGATTGGGCAAAAGGTCGTTGGGGTGGATATTGTCACCATGGAGATATTTTATTTCCATCATGGCATAGGCCATATTTACTTTTGATTGAATCTCTTTTAGTTAATGAAGCTAAAAAAATTGCTTCACAATATCCCGATAATGAGAAAGAAAAGTATGTTGAAGCAGCAAAACAACTTCGTCATCCCTATTGGGATTGGGGTGACGAAAAGGCAATGAAAGGTATTCCGGAAATATTTATAACATCTGAAATTGAAATAAATACTCCAAAAGGCAAGAAAAAGGTTAAAAATCCATTAAAAAGTTTTACTTTACCTGTTGATGTTTCATATCCACTTGGAAAAGGTCAAAATCCAACTGATAAACCAAATTATAATGTTCCGAACCTAACATATAATCCATTTACACCTGCCGGTTATCCTACAATTAGGCATCCTAATGCTGATTATGAAGATCAATATAATTTATTAAATTCTAACTTGTCAGTACATGTTCCTACAGTATTTAGACCCGGACTTTATCAAATGTTTCATATTAGAGATTTCCTACGCTTTAGCCACCATGGTGTAAAACCAGGTGGTGCACAAATGGGAAATGTATTCTCGGGGCATCCGCCTCCTTCAGCGACTGGAATTGGACATTTTGCGTCTCTAGAGATAGTTCATGATGATCTTCATTTAGCAACTGGTGGTATTGGAGGTCATATGGCTTATATAGATCTAGCTGGATTTGACCCACTATTCTTTTTCCATCACGTCAACGTTGATCGTCTTTTTGCACTTTGGCAAGGAGTGTTAGTATTATTATTTATTTAAATAAGTAAATATTTATCATAAATTATAATGACTAAATCTATTTTTTTATGTATAGATATCCTGATAGTTGGATTCCAAAAATTACTGAACTCAACGGAACTTATACAGATGAAATAGACAAAGTAGTAGATGAAAATACCGATCTAACACCATTTCGAAAGACAAAAACAGAATTCTGGAAATCTTCAGATGTTCGAGATATAGAAAAACTTGGGTACACTTATCTTGAAGTGGCAAAGTTTAAAAGTCAAGATCCCAAAAAATTGCAAGCTTATCTTCTTGAAATTTATAAGCCTGATCCTCATTGTGGACGAAGATTTTTCGTAAAGTTGACTATCGAAGCGGGTAAATTAGCTGGGCCATACTCTATTAGAGTATTTATAGATTTGCCTGATGCGAATGCTCAAACACCAGTAACCTCACCTCATTTTTCTGGGTTCGTTGCCATGTGGCAAAGTAATAGTCATACTCATAATAATACTTTTGTCGTGGGATCTGTCGATATTACGGCAGCTATGGTACGATTGAATTTACGAACTGAAACTTTCGAAGCTCTTCAAGATGTTAATGTTACGACAGGCTTGTTAAGTTCACTTGCAATTTTTGATGTTAATAAGGATATCAACATAGTTCCTGTAACGCTAGATGGAAAGGGTGTTAGTCCTAAAGATGCTGGTGTTAGTAAGGTTGAAGTTTTCACGTTCGAACACGATAAAGAGAACCCAAATTTCTTAGTCGAAAACTCGGGTCAATATTATGGCTCTAAAAAATTTTAAGAACATTTAATTCTTTATTGAGTATAACTAGAATATGATTATACGAGTGACTGATTTAATAATTACATTGAACAGGTCATATTGTTTGATAGTAATGTTAGACTCGAAAACCATCCAAGACCCTGATAATTCGGAAAAGATCACGAAACTCTAATATCTTTAAATCACGAGACTATTTCCACGTTGTGTCACTGCCCTACTAATACTAATGCTGATAGATTTATAATCTTATCAGTTATATTATATTGTGTATTTTTATCAGATAGAGTAATATATTATTGTTGATATCTATAATAGATATTTACCTTAGTCTAAAAACAAGGATAAATAGCTCTGGTTTTCCAATAAAATCTGATATTCATATTTTTATACACAAGTAAACACATAATTCAATTATTAGGTGCTATCATTATAATTAATAAATGAAATATTGCGACTATCAATAATATCACATAATTAGTGCTCCGAAGGTCGGGTCGGTTGAAAATTTTCGGGTTAGAGCTTCAACCCGACCTGAAATTTTAGGGCTAATATATTAAGTTTTTTTAAAAAAATGAATTCAATCACCCTTTCTTAAACGTTTACAATAATAATTCATGTAACGATAATCTTGCATATTCAGAATCAATTAAAGTTGTTTTTTTTTACTGATTTTGCTGTCGAAAAATTATTTTCGAAGTTAAAAAGAATTTAGGCGATTATTAAAACAAAGTCAGCAGTTAAGTTTTTCCAAACTTTGATCGATAGCCCTATGAAAAAAGTGGACCGTGTAAGCACGTGTTTCTACGGGAAGACACGGTCAAGTGTGGAACGATCGGATGTCCGGGATTGCACGGTCTGTGATCCGTGTTGGCACGTTGAATTGGTCCGAATTGGACTGTTTACCCGGACATTATGGACCGTAAATGGACCGGGTTTTGCTGCACTTTACTAAGCCAAAATTCACGGGTTTTGGCACGGGTCGAGGCACACGTAAGTTCACGTGCATATATTTCTTACGAGTTATAAAGCAAGAGTGAATTTGATTTAGTTAGAGTATGATATAATTGTGAAGGGGTGATAACAAACATGCCTATAGTAAAATTTTGCAGGGAATTTTTTTTGTTAGCTTTTTCATAGACGAGATTTTGAGATACAGACGATTTTTTTAAAAAAGCCGTTTGTTTTTGAATTTTCACATTACACCTAATCCTGCGATTTTATTGGCCATACGAGATGCACGTACCATTTAATACGACTAACGAGCCTATACGTGCCACCCAATGCACGTGCCAATACCGTAAAACGGAATATACGTGCCATTCTGTCACGTTTTGGATCGTGTTTCCTGCCTTTACGTGCCACATGACACGTGCCTATCCAGACAACTCCAACACGTACCAACACCCGGATCATTTTTCTCATAGGGTAATACTACGTTAACTGCCCAATGAAAACTTGTTTTATTTTTATTCTATGATATGGATTTGATAGGTAATTGCTGAGATATTTTCGTTCAAAGTTCGAAAAAAGTATATAATATTATTATCAGGAATTTTAAATTTAATTAGCTTGAGATATCAACAAATATACGCCAATCAGATCTCTTCGAAGAATCAAACTAATTTCAATATTTTAAAGTAAAAAATATACGTTAAAGTTAGAATAGAAATTAGAATTTTTTATATTAGAGCGCAGAATGTGGTTTCCTACGTATCGGCTGTTTTTTAAAAAATGGGATTTTCACGTTAAACCTATCTAGCTTTCTTAATAACCCTAGCTGCCGCAACAAAATTTCACGGCAGATTCTCGATTTTGATTGGCTAAGAGCGATGATCAAAAATTTGGCCGGAATTACTCGGAATTCTACTAATGAAACAAACCACAGAGCCCATTAAGTGAAAATTGTTCCTGGGTCAATTTTACCATAATGCGGGATTATTTTCCAAAAATTTCTATTTTTGTAAAAAAATCAAAAGTTAATTACGGCCGGAAATTAGTAAATGTAATATGCGCCAATATTTGAAATTGACAGGGTCTTCGAATAAAAAAAATTGGGTTATACTTTTATTTAGGCCATACAAACTTATATAATCGGTTCTCATATCCCGGCTGTGTCAGTAAAATAGAGATTGGAAATTTTAACTTTTTAATATGTTGACCAATAAGAATCTTCGATCAAAATCATGTGACCAATACAACAATATACAGATAATAGGAATTGTATTACCGTTACATACCATAAAAAATTCTGATACAAAACTTGCTCCTACTCCAATGACATAATATGTGTTAAAATGAATTGGAATTATCATGATTTCTCTCCAGTGACCACAATATGTAGTTGTTTTGCATTGAAATTTATCGTGATTTCTATCGTGAGCTACTGTGAATAATTCTGGTTCAGAACTTATTTACTATTCCGTGATTACAGTATTAGTTAAGATTGAGTTAGAATGCATTGTATTATTATATTTCTTTTGTGTTATTATAAAAATTCTCACAGAACTTACTCGCTATTCTAGTGATTAGGGAAATGTCATTTATCATCTAATATTTTTAGCAGGGGAGAGGGTACCAAAATATCATGCCAGTATAGATCGCATGTATATGTGTTTATATATAATCTTAATCATTTGAGGGAGGGGGGATTTTACTATTTACAAAAAATAAGCTGATAAATGACACTTCCCTTAAGTTTGAATTAGTTCACATTGGGGTTATCATGAATTTCTATCGTAAGTTAGTATAAATAATACTTATTCTTTATTTTAGTGACTACAGTATTTTGTTAAGATGAGTTAGTTTGTATTGGAAGTATCATGATTTCAATTGCTATTACGGAACTTGCTATTTTTGCAACTATAATGTGCAATTATAGGTTGCATTGGAATTGTCATTTTTTTCTATTAGACCAGACCAATTTAATTCCGTGACTTTGAATGAAGAATGTAATATAACTTGCAATTCCGGTGACTACAATATGTATAAGGTAGTTAGTTTATATTGGAACTAATGTTATATCTACAGAAAAACTTATGTTAAGAAGTTATTCGCTATTCCAGTGACTACAATATGTTTAGGTGGGTGAGTTTGCATTTGAATTGTCATGTTTTCTATCGCAGGTAGGGTTGTTAAATGGAGTAGGTCACTCCAGAGTGGCTCCGGTTTGACTCCAAACCAACTTGGAGTAGATTAAAATT